TTTGTGTGTAAAATATACCATCCAAAATAACACCTCCCCCCCCCACACGCATAAAAAAAAACTTTTTAAAAGATTTTTATTCCTTTTTTTAATAGTCAGATCTCTCTCTCTCTCTCTCTCTCTCTCTCTCTCTCTCTCTCTCACACACACACACACACACACACACACCATCTAGAAGAGACACTTTGAGAATAGAAAAGCCAGTTGATTCTGGCAGTACAAAAATTGCAAACAGCAAAACTGCATGCATGCAAGAGCTTTTTTTAAAAGCATATCCCCTTTTTAAAGGGTCTGGTTCTCTGGAGCTACCTAAATCCCTAGCATCAATCTGTGGCAGAAGTTGCTCAAGCTCTTCACGAAGTTCAGCTTCAAAGAGGCCAATGTCCCTCATCATTTCTTGGGGTTAAGTGTCAACAGAAAGGAACTTTCTTCGTAAGGAATGTAACTAATGATTATTGGTTGTAAGACATTTTCACATATTAGGACTAGAATTTTTAGCTCCATTTTACAGATGTGGCAACGGAGGATAATCCAGTCTAAATAATGTCTCCTGAGCCATGAAACTATAAATGGAGATCTTGTATTAGCCTGGATTTTCTGACTCCGAACTCAATATTCTTTTAAAAGCTTTTACTGCATTTATAGGTGTGGAGGTGTGTATATGAGCACATGCATGTGTGTAAATCAGAGAACAACTTCTACCATAGACTGTGAACTCAGGTCATCAGGCCTGGTGATAAGAACCCTTAGCAACTAAACCAGTTCACTGGCCTAAACTCAGCATTCTTCTCATACTCTTAAGTACCACAATTAGGTGAAGCTTTTTGAGATTTAAATACTAATACAAATAGAATGAACTTAATCTTATCTTCCCATATTGTTTTGCAATAACCAATATGAAGTACCTACAATATGTTTGGGGCTACTGAAGTGGGTAGGTATGTAGCCCTCTATAAACTGCCATGAAGTGAGTTACTCAGTCCATTTCTATAGTGTCCATTCTTACTGTTATGTGTTGCTTCATGTTATGCATACACATCCCTATAGCATTCTTCCACACTTCCATCCAATTGCTTCTCTACTAAATAGCTAGAAAGTCAGAAAATCAGGCTTGTAATGATTATTAAGAATAATAGGCTCCAAGCAAGGACCCTGGGAGCTCTCAGATGAGCTAACTACATAAGGAGAAGCTCCATGGCATTGTAGAGAATGCAGAGCTGTCTGTAACATAACCACATTTTTTCTCTCTAATCAAGAGTTCAAGTTATGAGATAGTCACCTTCCAGTAAAAGCAAAGTGTTGTGCATACTAAAGAGCTTTTTCTCCCTCAGTCTCTGGCACCTTGGGGAAGACCAGAATCATTCAATGTTGAGGAAAACCCTGGACACATGCCCAAATATTTCCTGGTAGTATAAGGCTGAAAGTCATAATGAAATTCCACCAATGAAAACAGAACTCTAATCATGAAGATGAGGAGGTATCAGATTTATGAAATTTCAGGTCTCCTTTTTCTTCATGGGGATCATAAATCACACCACTTCTTAATTTTGTTTTTGTCTCAACTGAACTAAGACCAAGAAGAACCATGTCATAGGACAGATAGCTTAGGATATACTGTGGTACCTTAGAGCTTCCTTATTTATCAACTCATGATGATTATACTACAGGTCCCATAAAGTTGCTAGGAATATTAAATGAGATAATTATGTAAGAGTAAGCATCATTTAGTAGGAACTTAGTAAATCTTCACTATTATCTTTATCCTCATTATTATAAAGTAGGAAAGAGAAAAGAGAGAAAGCAAAGGGAAAATGTACTTTCAGTGGAGTTTCTCAAAAAGAATTAATTAAGCAGAAACAAAAAACGATTGTGCTGCCCCATTTTCCTAAGCACATCTAAGTAAATTAAATTTAGGAAACGAGGCAATGCAAAGATTGAGGATAAAAAACAACTTTTTTAATGCTTCAATCATTATCAAAACAGCATTAGCATTAGAGCACTCCAACCACTGTGTAGCAAAGGGCCCCAGGCTCATTTATGAGGGCAAAGGCTTCCTACAATTGAGGACATAAAATCCAAATTGAGGCAGTAAGGACTGCTCATGGAACTGTGCGCATATCTGCAAAGCATCCTCAGTACTGAAATGCCTCCAGTAAGGGCCGCTGATAGAATTCTAAAGAGACTGAGAATCTAGCCCAAGAATAAGATAAGCTTGCTCCAACTGCACGTGGTGGAGAAAATAGCTCACAAAAGCTACCTCACCAAAGCTCACATAAACAAAGTAGTAAGGCAATTTTCTCAAAAATTTGGTCTACCAGAATGTTTAGTTTAGAGCAAAAACAATTGTGCCTCTCAATTCCAATTCATGGGAATAAGTACTTATGAGAAAAAGGAAATAGATGGCCAGCTTTCATAGCAATTGTTTTATACTGCTCCCTTGTTTGAAGCCTTCTTTCTTCAAAATGTTTTTGTTATAGAATGGATTTGTGGTCAATGCTTCTCCAAGCATAACGTAAGTGCTTTGAGGTCTGTGATTGTGGCTCTATTTTCTCTTGTTGGCTTTATTTTCTTAAGTGAGGCACACTAGAAATAAAATTAAAGAAACTAAACTAGAATGAAAAGAGATAAAGAGGGAGTAGATATGATAGCAAGAATGACAGCACAAGGAAGTTGGCATCATTTAGTGGTTTCAATACTTCTTTGCTAGGATTGTCCTTTTCTCTGTGCCTGCAATTCTAGAAATAAATGTGTGCGCACACACATGTACTCCTATGTATGTCTGTGAGAGAGACAGAGACAGAGAGAGGACATCAGTAGTAGGTGTTGCCTCTGCTTTCTTCCTCCTGCTCATTTGACTAATATTTAGCTCCCATATAATAGCAGCCATATCTTGACTCCAGTCCAATCAAAACACTGTCAGGATGCACTTTTGTCCTTAGTTTCATGCTGTTTCAGCCTCATAAGATACAATATGCAAAGTGCAAGACTGGACAGGTGCATGCATCCTAACAACAAAGACCCTCACATGGACAGCAGTAACAGCTGTCTGAACACTGGGATACCAGCGTCATCACTCTGCCCTTCTAACTCACTAGGAAATGGTTGAGAAGTAACATGGGGATGGTAATCTAGGAACTAAAATAAATCACTGATATTCCATTCTCACCAAGTGCCCTCATGCGTCAAAGACTAAGTTTCATCTGTCCACTTCAACCCAATCTTCTTGTCACATTACTTATTATACCGCTTACAGCCACTATATCAACTCCAAAACCAATCTGAGCACTCAGCACATGAACGCTGGGTGTCATTTTTAAATGGGGCTGAATTATTCATCCTATCACTAAATTGTTAGCCTCAAAAAAAAAAAATGCTTCACAAGAGCCTCACTGTATAAATGGGTTAACAAAGATTTTACGTTTTTATATTGTATGTCATATAACGAACCTAACATCAATATCCCCGGAGGCTTTTGACACAAGAGACTGGTGTGAATGATTGCTTTATTAGCTAATTTGAACATTTTTAGCTAATAATGATGATTTCATGTTAATACCTAAAATAAGGTATAATCACCCCACCCTAAAAGTCAAAGAGGGGAATTCTTGTAAATATGTAACTTTATCATGTCAAGTAGTCAGAACTGTTAGCTCTGACCCCAAGACTACCTTTCCAGGCAACTGGCAGCTGATTCACTATGCTCAATTTAGAAGGGCTAGAAGGGGGCTAAGGAGATAGCTCAGCCAGTAAAGTAAGGAGTTTGGATACCCAGCACCCACATAAAAAGTCACGTGTAGCACTGTGGTCCTGTAACCTCATCACTGGGGAAGGAGAATAGTTGAGGAATATTCCTAAAGCTCACTGACTGGCCAGCCTAGCAGAATAGGTGAAGTTCACTTTAAGTGAGAGTCCCTCTTTCAAAAAACGAAAGATGGAGAGTGAAAGAGGAAGATGAACAACATTGACTTCTGGCCTCCACACATGCATATATTTGTGCGCACACCCATACCACCAAGGGTATACCCACCCACAGAAACTCCCAACACACACGTTAAAGAAAATCTCTGTATCTGCAAGTAATTTTCCTAGTCACAAGAGGTAGCCTAAGTCAGGTGATAAAAATCATGGACCCTAAAAACCAGGAAACTTGGATTTTCGGATCTTTCCTTCACTATTTTAGTTGTGTAGCCTCAGAAAATTACCTAATCATTCTGGTCTTGAATCTTCATCAATAAAATTGACATATGAAAAGCCCACTCATAGGTATATTGTGAAGATTAAATAAAATGACAGACGTTGATTATTTAAAATCCCACAGTACTGTATAAAGACTTCTTATCACTACCATCATCTCCAGTTGATCTTTAATCTGAAAAAATCTTCCCTGTACTGCTGTAGCTTTCTTGTAAATTACTAAGGATAGAAATGCTTGCTGCCCATCCTTTCACAGTTCTTAGAGAAGCATGGTGAGAACTGACATTCACAAGGAGAGAAGAGGAAAACACTCACTCACACAAACTAGAAAATGACTGGCCAACAAGCCAGCTTCTCCCTCTTAAATGGAAATGGTCCTAGTGGTCAGAAGGAGTTCATGGATATTCCATAGGAATGTGATTCACCCTGGAAAAAAATTGGCCTTGGAATTTATAGAGATGTTTCGGTGGTGATGGGTGATCATTGTGATGGTTGAAAACAAGTCTTACAGACTAACAGAGAAAATTATCACTAACTTTTTCAGCAGTGTGTTATGCCTTTTACATACAGGGAAACAGAATGTCCTTGGACAATTAGTTTTAATAGTATCCACTTTTTCAAACAGTAAAATGAAGTTTCTTTAAAAACTGTGTGTTTCCTTATCCAGGGTTTCTCACTGGGAGGTTTTTGTATCAAGCTTACATGCTGGAATGGTAATTTATAAATTATATTTAGCATTTGAAAGCCCATTGCCCAAATAATGATGCCGTTGAGCAGCACATAGAAAATGATCCCCCCAAACTCACCTTGGAAAATCGCAGCATTCTGAATAATTAAGAACTTGAGCTCCATACTAGCAGACTGGAGCAGTTGTTCCATGTTCAGCCGTGCTGTTAGTTGGTATTTTTCTTCCATTTTTCTTGAGCAGCATGTTGGGCCCTTGGGGAGACACACTTGCAAATCTGATCCTGAAACAAATAAGGTATTCATGTCTCAGTGAGCAGAAAATTTCTATCTCTCTCTCTATCTATCTCTCTCAAACACACATACACACAAGTAAACAGGATGAAAAAACACATTTCAGTTTAAATACAGTAGGTCTTGATTATGTTATTTATGTCAGTACATCTAATTTCCCTCATAGTTGATTTCTTTTGAATAACTGTCAGTTAATTGCTGAGGTCTGACTCATAAATTCTAAAGAAACTAATTTATAGCAGCACCAAATGCACACTGTTGAACACCAACATTTAATTTGTCTTTTAAAATATCACTCTTCTGGGGGGTTATATTATGGCAGCTCCGAGAGGACACTGTGTCTGACAAGCAGGACAGCAGTGACTGCACAGCGAACAACAGACCGAACTGTGGGCCCGAAAATGCCAGTGATTGTGTTTCCCAGACGAGAGGAATGGTGTGGGAACAATCGTGTCCGTTCTCAGGTCACACAGCTAAACCCCAAAAGAGTTCCCGGGTCCCTACAGGCACTAGGTTGCCAGCCCAGAGCCATGGGACTGCGTGCTCTGATCACCATCCTAGACTGAACTGTGGGCCCCACAACTCCAGAGACTGGGTTTTCCAATCGAGAGAAAACTCCACAGTGAAGGAATGAATCGGGACCAATGTCAGATCATCCAGACAATCCCTAGAAAAGATCCCAGGGTCCAGCAGGTGTACAGGTGCCAGCCCAGAGACCCACCTGCATGCCACCTCACCCTCCCAGACAGAACTGTGGGCCCCAGGGATCCAGATACTAGGTTTCCCTGTTAGGAAGAAACCCCACAGTGAGGGAAATATCAGGTCCAACCTCAAGGCACCCAGCCGAACCATCCCCACCACCATCACGAAAAGTTCCCAGGTTCCAGCAGGTGCCCAGTTACCAGTGCAGAGCCACTCACCTGTACCTTTGTGCTCTACTTACCAACCTAGACTGAACGGTGGAACCCAAAACACCACAGAGTCTCTCTCTGTCCAAAAGAAACCCCAAGGTGAGGGAAACATCAGGTCCAACCTCAGGACACCTAACTAATCCTTGAAGGCTCTGAGTGTTGTGCTCATCTGCCACTTATTACCACTTGGGTACTGGGGCACACACAAAGCTCCAACCTCAGACCTACAGAACAGACATTGCTCCAAGAAGCAACCTGTATCCCTAGCTAAACTGACCAAACTACAGGGCTCACTGTTTCTTCAAGAGGACTGTGCCTACCCAACACCTAATAGATTAGACCAGAAAAGAAAATCCTCCTGCCACATAATAATGAAAACAGTAAGTATATAGAACAAAGAAAAAAATACTAAAAGCTGCAAGGGAAAAAGACCAAGTAACATATAATGACAAACCCATCAGAATCACACCTGACTTCTCATCAGAGACTATGAAAGCCAGAAGGGCCTGGATGGATATCATGGAGACTCCTAAAGAACACAGATGTCAGCCCAGGCTACTATAGCAGCAAAACTGTCAATTATCTTAAATGGAGAAAAAAGATATTCAACGACAGAAAATAAATTTATAAACAATACCTACCCACAAATCGAGTCTTACAGAAGATACTAGAAGGAAAAATACAACCCAAGAAAGCGTTCAGGAAAACACAGGAAATAAATAACCTCACTACAGTAAAACTAAAACTAGCCAAACACACATCACACTACCACAACCAACAACAAAATCAAAGGATCTAACAGCCACTGGTCATTAATCTCTCTCAATATCAATGAACGCAACTCTTCAATAGAAAGACAGAGACTAACAGAATTGGGTGCATAAACAAGTCCCAATAATCTGTTGCGTACAAGAAACACAAATAAGTAAAAAAGATAGAGTAAAGTGCTGGAAGACGGTTTTCAAAGCAAATGGACACAAAAACCAAGCAGGAGTATCTAATAAAATGGATCTAATATCTAATAAAATAGACTTTCAATCAAAATTAATAAAAAGAGATGGGGAAGGTCACCTTATATTCTATGCCCCAAATACAAGGGCACCCACATTTCTAAAAGAAACATTAATAAAACTTAAACCACACATAACCTCCCACATATTAATAGTGGGAGACTTCAACACCCCACTCTCAACAAAGGACAGGTCAACAAAACAAATTAAACGAAGAAAAAGTGACACTAATAGAGGTCATGAATCAGGTAGACCTAACAGACATCTACAGAACCTTTCACCCAAACACAAAAGAATTTAACTTCTTCTCAGCACCTCATGAAACCTTCTCCAAAATAGTTCATATAGTTGGTCACAAAGCAAGCCTCAACAGATACAAGAAGATTAAAAGATTCCCTTGTATTCTACATGACCACCGTGGACTAAAACTGGACCTCAACAACAACAGCAAAAGGCCTACACACACATGGAAACTGAACAACTCACTACTCAGTGACAGTTGGGTCAGGAAAGAAATAAAGAAAGAAATTAAAGTCTTCCTAGAATTCAATGAAAATGAAGGCACAACCTACTCAAACTTATGGAACACAATGAAAGCAGTGCTAAGAGGAAAGTTCATAGCACTAAGTGCCTTCATAAAGAAATTGAAAACATCTCATACAAACAACTTAAGAACTCACCTGAAAGCCCTAGGGGAAAAAAAGAAGCAGATAAACCCAAGAAGAGTAAGACGCCTGGAAGTAATCTAACTCAGGGATGAAATCAATAAACTAGAAACAAACAAACAAAAAAAAAAAACAATTCGAAGAATCAATGAAACCAAGAGATAGACAACAAGATAGAAAAAAAAAAAAAACCTTTAGCCAAACTAACTAAAAGGCAGAGAGAAACTATCCAAATCAACAAAATCAGAAATGGAAAGGGGACACAACAACAGACACTGAGGAAATACAATCATTAGGTCATACTACAAAAGCTTATATGCAAGAAAATTTGAAAATCTAAATGAAATGATCAATTTTCATAATTGATTCCACTTACCACAGCTGAATCAAGGCAAGGTAAATAAATTAGTCCAATATCCCCTAAGGAAATAGAAGCTATCATGAAAAGTTTTATATCCAAAAAAATCCCAGGGCCAGATGGTTTCAGTGCAGAATTCTACTAGACTTTCAAAGAAGAGCTGACAGTCTTCAAACTATTCCACAAAATAGAAACAGAAGAAACATTACCAACCTCATTCTATGAGGCCACAGTCACCTTGATACCCAAACCACACAAAAAGAACTTCAGAACAATGTCGCTTATGAACATTGATGCAAAAATACTCAATAAAATACTTGCAAACCTAATCCAAGAACACATAAAAGATATCATCTACCATGACCAGGTAGGCTTCATCCAAGATACGCAGGGGTGGGTCAACATATGAAAATCCATCAGTGTAATCCACCATATAAACAGAAGGAAAAAAAAACCACATGATCATCTCCTTGGAAGCCGAAAAAGCATTTGACAAACTTCAACACCTAATCATGTTTAAAGTTTTGGAGAGATTAGGGATAAAAGGCACATACCTAAACATCGTAAAAGCAATATACAGCAAGCCTGCAGCCAACATCAAACTAAACTGAGAGAAATTTAAATCAATCCCACTGAAATCAGGGACAAGGCAAGGCTGTTCACTCTCTCCTTATCTCTTCAATATAGTTCTTGATGTCCTAGCTAAAGCAATAAGACAACTTAAGGAGATCAAAAGGATACAAGTCGTAAAAGGAAGAAGTCAAAGTATCACTATTCTCAGATGATATGCTACTATAAATGAATGACCCTAAAAATTCTATCAGAGAACTCCTTCAGGTGATAAACACCTTCAGCAAAGTGACTGAATACAAAATGAACTCAAAAAAACTGAAACCCACCTGTATACAAAAGAAAAATGGGCTGATAAATTAGTTAGAGAAACAACACCCTTCACAACAGCTACAAATAACAAAAAGTACCTTGGTGTGACTCTAACCAAGCAAGTCAAATACTTGTATGAAAAGATCTTTCACTCTCTGAAGAAAGAAATTGAAGAAGATAGCAGAAGATGGAAAGATCTCCCATGATCATGGAGTAGCAGGAGTAACAGAGTAACAGAGTACAAATGGCCATCCTACAAAAAGCAATCAACAGATTCAATGCAATTCCTATTAAAATACCAACACATTTTTTACAGACCTTGAAAGAACAATTCTCAATTTCATATGGAAAAATTAAAAATTCAGAATAGCTAAAAGAGTCCTGTACAACAACAAATCATCTGGAGGTATCTCCATTTCAGATCTCAAGCTGTACTATAGATCAATAGTAATAAAAATGGCATGGTATTGGCATAGAAACAGAATGGTGAATCAGTGGGATCGAATAGAAGACCAAGAAATAAACCCACACACCTACAGAAACTTATTTTTTGACTAAAAAGCCAAAAACGATACAATAGGAAAAAAAAAAAACAAAAACATCTTCAACAAATGGTGCTGGTCTAACTGGATATCTACATGTACAAAAATGCAAATAGACCCATATTTATCACTCTGCACAAAGTTAAAGTCCAAGTGGATCAAAGACCTCAACATGAAACCAGACACACTAAGTCTGTTAGGAGAAAAGGTGAGGAAGATCCTTGACCTCATTGATACAGGAGATGACTTCCTTAATAAAACACCAACAGCACAGGCTTTAATATCAACAATTAATAAATTGGGCCTCATGAAACTGAAAAGCTTCTGTAAAGTAAAGGACACTGACATCAGAACAAAACAACAGCCTACAGACTGGGAAAGGATCTTCAGCAACCCTACATCTGACAGTAGGCTAATATACAAAATATATAATGAACTCAAGTTAAACACCAACAAACCAAGCAATCCAATTTTAAAATGGGGTACAGAGTTAAACAGAGAATTCTCAATAAAGGAATATCTAATAGCAGAGAAAAACTTAAAGAGATGCTCAGTGTCCTTGGTCATTGGGGAAATGCAAATCAAAATGACCCTGAGATTCCACCACACCCCCATAATAATG